ATGTCCTTCTTCAAGTCCATTCCAGACGCATTTTGGTGGGCAGTGGTTACCATGACCACGGTGGGATATGGTGATATGAGGTATACATGAAAGCGAATAAGTAAATTTATTTAAACCAAAAAGGATTAACCTATTATATGTATCTAATAGCAGGGGCGGAAGTTAGTCATTATGCGTATTAAATGAAAGAAAAAATGTGTACATAAGTTTTTAGTTTCAATACTTTTTGGTTGATGAACATATATAAATAAATGGGATTAATTATAATTATAAAGTTTTATATTAATTTTAACCGACCCAATCTTTCTGCAAACCCACAGTGGTCTCCCATATCGTATTTAATTCAAGCTAAAACATATAATGCAGCCCAAGCGACCTATGGCTTACTTTAAATCGATTTTTTTTTAGATTTTTTCATTTGTATACGCGCGCAAAGATCAAATTATATCTTCGAAAACTGCATAAAATTCTCTAAAACATTCGCCTAATTTCAAGACCTTATAGACCGGTACTCACACTTTTTTTTCTAATAATCTTGATATTTATAACTATTACTCATCCCTCTCTAAGTCCAACCGGTTTTTTTTTTTATTAACTGTCACCATGAATTTTTTCTACCTGCCTGCATATAGGCGAAACACTGTGCGGCGTAAGTATCTTCCGCACTTGAATAGAAAAGTATTTTGCATGTGTTGCTCGAAGAATTTTTGTCAAGCATTTACCTTTTTCGACTTAAAAAAATAAATTTCCTCAGGGACTCTAGAACTGTTGAAAAGCTACTAAGAACAGTTTTAATTTTTATTTTATTTTTTTCAAATGTTAAGCCTTTTCTATTTTTGATAAAATGTTTTTTTTTTCGGCGTAATTTTGCACAACACTTTTCCACATATTAGGAACTTAAGAGCTACTCAGAACATTTTTCATTTTTATTTTATTTTTCAAAAGCATTTGGGGACTTTTTTGAACCTTTTTTTTTGCGTAATTTTGAATAACTTTTTTTTCTTATAAGGAGTTTTAGAACTATTGAAAAGCTACGCATATTAGTTTTTTGCCTTTTTGCGACATTTTGTATGTTGCGCGAATCTGGCATACACAATTTTTCCAAAAATTTGTTATTGTTAGTATAAGCTTTTTTCCATTTCAAGAACTCTAGAACTAGTAAAAACCCACTTTTTTGTTTTTTTTTTGCGGCATTCTGTATTATCCCCTAACTCTGATACCTTTCGTTTTAAAATATAAATTATTTGTGCAGCAAATCGATATCTCCAGACTCAAACTAGACGTTTTTACTTCACTTTGATTCAAAGTTATTGTTTAATTATACAGATAATTAGTCCACCGATGCCCGCTGAATTGAACAGATGCGTGAAATTAGAGAAATTCGGAGTAGTTAAATAATAAATGCTGCTGATACCTACTTTTTTCTCACTTTGTTATGCAAATAATTACAACTTAGGATTTATTAAATGAAATATGAGTCAAAAGTTATTTTATACAAAACTGAAAAAATACATAAAATTTTATTAATGAATACCAATCATAATAAATAGAATATCTATGTATATATTACAAATAAAATCGTGGTCTCACTTTTTGTATTAAACAATTTTTCATTGAATTTTTTCGCAAAATGATAACCGCCCCTGATAATTATAATTATTGTAAACATGCTATATTTGAATATTTTCGAACTTGTACAGCTGTTTGCATTCATATTTATGTTGATTTCATGAAAAGGATATAAACTTTCACTACAACTCTCACTTTATTTCAATCTATTTCTCGAACTATTACTTCAACTTGTGTAATAACAGCTCCATTTCTCCTTTTTTTTTAAGTTATAAATATTTAAGTATTTGGATTTTTATAATTTTGCAATAACTTCACAGAATATAAATAAGCAAATAATTCCCGTGCCTCTGTGTCACCATGTAATTTTGGTGCATTTGTGTCACGCTGTGGCTATCTTCGTTGTCGTTCCGTTGTTTGGCAGTTACTCATTAAAATTGTGAATTTATCGGTTTGTTTTTTGTTGTGCGTGAATTGTAGAATATTTATTCTGTTATTTCATTTATAAATATTTAATTTATGTGTTAAAAAGTGAAATTTTAATATACGCATATTGTAAAAAAAATGTGCGTGTGTGTAGGTGTTGTGCTACCAAGTTAATTGTGCCATTAAATTGTGTTCTTACAAAACTATTTTCCTTATGAGTATTTAATTTTTTTTACTACCTACACTTTAACAGTTCGCTTTTGTTTCAGTATACATTTTTTTTTAGTTTAAAAATGTTTCAGCGAAATGAAAAACTGAGTTGTTTTTAATTATTTTAATAATTTTATTTGCATGAATACATTTAAAGCCCAAGCACAACTTACATAATTACGTTTTTATTTATTTATTTTTATTTTATTATATTTTTTGTCGGCAAAATTAACTCTGCTTTGCATCGTATCACCATATTTCATAGTGAAAAAAATGCGAAATTCCCTAAAGTTTCTGCGAATTTATTATACATTGTAAAGTTCAAATACAATGGTATTCACAAAAATGCTAACAGATCTTGTTCTTTCTTTGGTGCTTCAGCTGTTGAGATCCATTTATAGAATTGGTTTTCTTACTAGGTCGACTTATTTCGGCCTTTAGCTGTGTTCGACACGAGCCCCCGTGATGTTAACATATTGGATCGTAGGTGCCTTATAGCAAAGATAGAGGCCATTGTTAATCCGGATAAAAGGCGCCGTGGATTCGATCACGCAACTAGAAAAATTACTATTTCCTTTTTTAGTTTTTCCAATTAGTGCTTTTATTAGTATTGTTTTAATGCAATTATAGTTGTGGACTTATTACGTGCCATTAATGATGAATTTACCACTGATCCGCATTAATTTTAACAATTAACTGTAGGACTTCATTTATATCCCCGGTGCCAATCAACGCCGCACAATGGGACTACGCGAACAAAACTAATAAAAACCGATTAGCGAATTCCGAAAAAGCAATTATGCGGATTCAAAAAGTACTTCCAAAAATGAACAGTCCGCTGTTGAAACATTCTTAACTTCTAAACAACAGGAGTTACAATATATTTTAAGTATATATTAAATAATGCCATATACTTATGCTTTCAATTGCAAGAAAAAAGTATCCGAAAATTGTATTCTAGCGAATTTCAGCGGTTTTTGAAAAGCATTTTGAGTCAAAATGTAATGTAAATTTCATCGAATTTGTAGGACGGTTACTACTTTTGGCCGTAGCATATATGGGAACGTCCCACTGTGCTCAGCCGTCTCTATGCTTCTGCTCCTTACCTTTTCCATGCAAAAATTGACAAACGTTCAAACTTAAAATCAGCTGTTTTTTGTGTTTGCATATTTCAAGGGGAAAATTGGTTAGATTCTCTAAAATATCTGGTTAAATTAAGGGTATTCAATAAACTAGACCCAAATTCTTGTAACCAGCTCCATAGCTGTAGGCGTTTCGCTCCCTCTTGGAGAAATATTAAATTTTTCTTCCATCTACTATTTGAAAACTAGATTAATGCAACTATGGTTTTTTTACCAATAGTTATATTTATGAGTTAATTTTTAATCCACTGATTCCGAATATTTTTATTTATTTGTTTTTTTTTTTACTTGATCTACAAGTACAAGTATATATATATAACGACTTTTAACAGCAACCGAAATATTTTTAACGGTATTAGAAGTACCATTGCTTAATAGACCCTCCATTACTTTGTCATTCAGCGCATTAAAATACATGAAGACATTTATATAATATAACTTTTAGGATGGTCCTTAAATTATCCACATTTAAATTTTGTATGGGACAACTTTTTATTTTGGTCTGCGCACAAAATAAAGACATCCGTGAAAATTTTAAACAAATTTTTAAGGGTTGCTTCCGGTTTTAAAATAAATTATTTTTTTTTTTATCGCAAGAATTCAAGAAAAATTTAACTTATTCATAATTCGAAAAATCGCTGGTCAAAATTAAGATTTTTTCGAATTTTCGCAATTTTTTTAATGTACATTCCCAAAATGTTGTTTAAAATTTAGAAATTTTCGTGCGACGATATTGATAATTTAAAGGACCTTCCTAATAACTATCATTTACAAATCATCAACACTCTTTATTTCTTGGCTTTTCTTTCATGTTCTTAGTATCCATTTGAAACTGCCACACGATGCAAATATAATTTTAATTTTGAAATAACGTTCGGAGCTTAAGTGACTTTTAAACTCAAATTTTTCATTAAATTCTGCTTGGGATAACTTTGCATATGTAAGTATGCTTCTTTTAAAACTAAAAAAAAAACATTTTTAACTTATCATTTACTTATAAAATTTAGTTTCATTAGTGAATGCCCAGTCGGCTTACAATATTTTAATTATTTTACGACAGATAACGAATAGTATGTGGGCAAACTTCTTACAACCAACAAATGTTATCTGGATTTTAAGTAGTGGCCATCAATGAACTTAATTTCAGCATTGAAAAAAAAAATAGTTCATTGCGCAGTGCATTTGTTCGGCTAAGTGTGTGCAATGAAATAAACACCGAATGACAAAATTTTACATTAATACGCAACTCCCCAAACAATTGTATACATACATATGTATAAATAAAAAAATGAAACATTACTAACAAATTCCTACACCAAAACCTTCAGCGCCACTAACAGTACCAACATCAATGCAAAAAATATAAATCTAAACTGCCAATACAGAACCACAAACTCGATTAAATAGTTCACTCATCTAAGCCTGCCCTAAAATCCCAGCTAATTCCTTAATATTCAAAAATTGTCATTCCTTTCATTAAATTTATCCTACAATCATCACGGTAAATACAGTCCCTTCCTGCCTTCCACCTCATCCACTTTCCTTCAAATCCTACATACACTAAACTCCTTTCTTCCAATTTTCCAACAACTTCATGCCAATTTCTTTCAAAACAACCAAAGCGAAGAAACCAACAAATTTATTTGATTCTAGGCGTTGTACTCTTCTCATCGGCGGTTTATTTTGCGGAAGCTGGAAGCGAAAATTCCTTCTTCAAGTCCATACCCGATGCATTTTGGTGGGCTGTCGTTACCATGACAACCGTTGGATATGGTGACATGACGTATGCAAAATATACTAATAATAAATATTTTCACTTACTATTTACATAATTTTTTTTTTTAACTTTTCGCATAAGTTCATTTGCTGAGTATATATTTTTTCGGATTCAAAGTTATCAGCTTACCGAAGAAATTAAATAGCACAGCAAAATGTTTCGAAAACTGTCGACTGTTTCGAAGTGTACGACTTACACGCTTGTAACCGAATTTTTAATAAGTATTCAAAATTGTCAATGTAGTACTCGAAAGTTTATTAAATAGCGTTTTTGTAATAGTTATTCAAATACATTTTGCCGCTGCATTTCATTTTTTCGTACGCCAACTCACCCATAAGCTTAGTTAGTAATTCTATTCGTTTTGCAAATTATTGCAAAAGTTTAAAATTCATTTACTATTAAAATTAGCTTAAAACATATTCCGTTAAATTTCCAATTTCAAATCAGTAGATTTTCATTCAAAAAATCATTTGCATCGCAGTTGCATTTTCTCAATTATCAAATTTCGCAAACATACATATATCTACAACTTTCATTAACATGCATCAATCATTTACCAACAACAAACAAATGCACGCATACCAACATTCCAACTGACACTCACCTAATTGCATCAAAAATCTTTATTCTCTTATTCACAAAATACTCTCAAAGCTTCGATGATTTCATTCATGCCTTTGTTTTCATTGCAGTTCACATCCTTGACAAACATCTCCATTTTTTACACATACACATACATACATACGCATTCGAAACATTGATTCTCAAAAACAACAGGCAGGTGTGCACAACAAGACTGCAATTACTTGTTTTCTTATTTATTCTGCATCATCCTTCTCTGCATTACCTTGCGCTCGCTCATTCGCGTCCATCCAGTACTTACACGCCTAATGTTGACTTCACACGTTGATTTAGAGAATGCTGTAATTAAATTTTTTATAAATTACCATACTTTTCGCGCAAATGCATCTACTATATTTCATTAAAAATCTTAGAAAAAAATAATTTTCGAAAGCTTGTTTATTCAATACATCGGTCATAAATGTCGATTTTAATTCACCAAATTTTTTTGTAAGATATAGATAACCTTTGCAGTTCCTTCTGCGAACAAACAATTCCTTACCAATCCAATTTCTTTAATGCCTTCAGGTTATAGGTTTCGCTATAGATAATGTATTGTGGAACGGAATTCCGTATTCAGTGCCACTTTACTATACGTATGCAGTTTTGGAAAAACTTTTCTAAATTCAATTGGAATAGAGTTGCTTAATCTCTGTAAAAGTCGAGTAAAACTATCTCTCTTATAAACTGAGTAATTTATTTAGCTGGTCAAGAAAATAGGCACCTCTTAGTATGACCATAAGGTCATAGCTTTATGCTCACCTCTTTAATTTTTTTCGTTTATCATGGCTTCTGTCCAGCATTTAAGGAAGAATTTGGATGTTTCAAATATTAAAGTTATAAAAGTACTTTCGTTTAGTTCCAATTGTTAGAAACCTACTTTTTGCTTTCTATTATTTCAGTTCGTTCATTAAGCAATTGAGTATAGAAACACTACGTTCTGAAAGATAATTTTTATCCCTAAAGCGAGTCCCTTAGTTAGGATAAAAGGTTTCCATCCGCCATCTGCGTGTTAGGACCGCTAGTTTGGACCCAAGCCCGCTCTGTATTCTATTCGCCCTTCCCCTTAAGTAAATTTTAGTCACACCTATTTATCTCAATCATCACTGATTGTGAATAAAGTCTTCTTCTTGTTGTTATGTGGCAATACAACCGTTTGTCGGATTTGGCCGAGGAATTGGGAGCCAAGGAAAGCTGGGTTAGTCTTTTGTATTTTACAATATAACTCAGTCGTGATTTGCATTTCCGAGTTGACTTTAAGTAATTCGAAACTTGCGCAGGATTTTAACCTCAGCTTGGCTGGAACTTAATGTTCGCAAACTCCTATCCACACATCTATTTGTCACTTCAGCTTGGAAAAGTGAAAGAAATTCTACGAAAGAAAACTAAAGCGCGTTCTTCTTAAGTTAGACTTGTATTCACTCAACAAGAGTATCTTTTAATCAATATTCTCTTTACTTAAATCAGGGATCTTAATTTAAAGACAAACAGGCCTATCCTGCGTGATCTATGCAACACCAGAATTTCTACAAAACTGCATAGCTGAATTGCTGCATAAATTAAAGCGTTACCAAGGTACATAGCTAGAATTGCAGTTACAAGAAGTGGTGTCAATGTTTTGTAAAATTTGCTTGTTACAAATGTCGGAACTTAAAGTTATATACATAGATGTTATTGTCGCGAGGAAGCCATTTTTCTTTGTTCTAAAGTTAATTGGCCTCAAGTACCGCTTTCTCAGCTCCTCCTACCCTATCGTACCACCCTAATGCCAGTAAATTAAAGCTCGCTAGAAGTCATTAAACTTATTTTAAAAAAAATCTATTGTCGAATGTAGGCGAAATTTAAATTGTCTTGATGGAATCTCGATAAACATTTTGTATGAACGTCTATCGAAAAATGTTTGAACCAAATTTATACGGCATCTGGTTCGATTTGGGACACAGTAAATACCACTGCACACTTCAAACACTCATGTGGTATCAAATCACCTATGTATGTATCTCAGAAATCAGAGTACTACTTTTACACCCCTTTTATCCTCGAAAATATCCTAAATACTTCAAAATCAAGTCATTTACTTAACCTTACTTTAAAATTTCGCAGACGATTTTTTAATGCCTTTTACCTTAACTAACTTTAAGTAAAATATAACATACATTACTTACTAATTTTGTTCTGTGCATGTGGGCATGGTATGCATTTTTTATGCTTTAAAATTATGTATTTTTGCAAAAAGTTGTTTAAACTGAAATTCGACTTGGTTCTTTTCGTTTAATAAATTGAAAGAACATTTTATTGTTTTATGGAGCTTTTATCTATGAAATTGTTATTTGTTATTGTGCGTTTTTATTTCCTTTCGGTATATTTTTTTAAGAAACTATTATTATTTAATTTTCTTGGGTTTAATGTTAAATCATGTGCTCATTTGTAAATGCTTTTATGTGCGTTCATTTATGTGCAATGTATATATTTTCAAATATTATATGCAAATATGCAATACATATTGTACAGAATTATTTATTCCTGAGCGATGAAACACGTGCATTCGCTATTATCGCTACATTTTCTTCTCTTGCATTCACATCATTTGTCACATTCTTGCATCCTATCGTTTTAATTCCTCTTCGTCCGTGTCACAAAAAATGCCTATGATTACAAGCTTTAATTTTGTGAGTTGTTCGAATCTAAGGCCTCTCGGTGGCCCAATCATGGACTTACAGTGTATCTACTAATCCAGTTGTCGATACAAATTTGAGTATATAGCCTAAGTCTCAAGATTTCATCGCGCCCTTAGTTAAAAAATGTGTTCCCACGTATGTTTAAAATCCCAGTTTATTGACAAGTAATTGTTCAGCCTGTAATGCCCTATAAGAATTCCCGTGCTAATGCTTCAATTATTCTTTTATAAGCTTTCTTAAGCGTTTAAGATCATACATATTTACTACAGGCGCATTGGGATACTCATAAGCCTGGTAAATTTTCTGAGTAGTGAAGTACTAATTTCTAACAGCTTCTACCTCTCTGATAGGATCATGATAGAAGCTGCTCTTTGCCTCAGAGAAGCTCTGGATCGTCGAAAGAGTTGATACTTCATTCTTTCGAAACAAACATAACAAATATTTCCATACCTGTAGTACAGATTAATTTCTTTAAAACTAGAAGGTTATAATAAACTTCCTCCACCTCAAAAATAAATATTTTATTTTAATACAGTTTTAAGGCGGTGATGGGCACTTCCTTGCACACGGGCAAAGCTCTTTTAAACTTTCTATATATTTTGTATAGGCGGATGCAGAGTAAAAGCTCTCTCTGCCCATCGCTGATCTAATATGAGCACGCATAGAGTAAAAGCTCTATATGGCCGTCTCTATTCTGAACTATGCTTAAAACTGCAAAATACATACACACATGATATTTCAGAGACATTTATTCACAAAGTTCCTTAATTCAATGCCAAGTTGGGTTAACATCACTGATATGTGTAAGCCAGGGACCATAACGCGATCATTATAATAAAAGTCAAGATTTAATCGATGAAGTCGGATTTTATTTTTCTAATCAAGTTTAACCATTATTTTATGATTTGTATTTTTTCGATCACGAGTAATCGTTATTTTGATATTTCATTTTTTAGTTTCCATTATAACAGTTAAAAATTATCGAAAAAATAAAATAACTATTATTCTCTCGAAAAAAAAAAAATTATAATCAAAAAATAACCGATTATTTTGTCATTCTCTCGAAAAAAAAATTATAATCACGAAATAACCGATTATTTTGTTATAGAAAAAAGATAAGCCATAATTAACGATTTTGCTTTGATCTAGAAATAAAAACCTTGTAATTTCCCTTCTATTTTCGGACCCTGATTTCAACAGGTTCCAATATTTTTAGAAATAATAATTTCTCTCAATTTGATTATGAGTTGATGGTCAATTCCGGTTAATTAAACTTTTTGGATTCTAGTTTTTTCTTGCACTCAACCACATTAGGTCAATTAGCCTGGAATCCAACAAGCTTAATCATTTTTCTCATTAAACTGCAATTTTACTTTTTGTTTGAAACTCACTGACGTTAGGATAATCATCTTCTTATATGCAATCCATATACATACAGTCACCCACAGAAGTATTCGTTTTTTCTCAATATTCAAAATGTTTTCCAAAATAAATCTTGTTCGTGAATTTAATTTTTAGTTCTTTAAAACATAGCTCCTCTACAACAAAAACCATGTAAATGATTCTTGCAAACTTTGTACAAAATTCATAAAAATGAATCAAACTTAAAAAAATTGCATCAAAATGGATCAAACCTAAAAAATTGCATCAAAATTTCAAACTTTTATTCAAAATTTTTAGAAAAATTTTCAGTTTGCAGTTCAAGCAGTTAAAAATTACTGCTGATTTTTTAGATTTTTTTTTTGTATATAAGGCATGAACAAAATCTATTTTTATATGGAAGAAAATGCGCAGCAACCTCGCCAAAAAAAAATCTATCAAATCTGCATTATAATATTAATTATAATTATTAGCTGCTTGAACGGGCTACAAAACTGCTTACCGATTTGTTTTTTAATTCTGAAAAAAAATTTTAGTTTTTGATGAACATTTTTTTAGTTTGATTCATTTTTATGAATTTTGCACAAAGTTTGCAAGAATTATTTATATGGTTTTTGTTATGGAATGAGCTATATTTTAGATGAAAAATATTTATGATGAAAAACATTTTGAATATTGTAAAAAAACTAACTTGCGAATACTTCTGTGAGTGACTGTACATACATATGTACCTCCGCCGAACATCTTATCAGCAAATTATTAATGACTTAAGCACCTACCTGAGTCCATTACAGCCAAATACTAACTAATTATTTATGTACCTCAGTCCATTTTATATACACCAAGACATAAAAAAGAGCATCCATAACCAACCATACTGCATGCATTTCCATAAAACTCGTAAACTATCGCATAAGTATTTATTTATTATAATCTTAATTGAAAGCACCTAAACTAAATAGAGGCATATCCACTGGTTTACATACTCCACATTTTACATACACACTTATACATACACACGTTCAGTTTTGCTTTTCACTCATGCTGTATCTTCTTGCATATACATATATGACATATATGTATGTAAAAGCATAAACAGACGGCAGCGTTGATCCGGATCAACTCGGGAATTAACTGCAGTTGATCCGGATTAAGTGCGAGTTAATCCGGATTAAGTCCGAGTTAATCCGGATCAACGCTGCCGTTCGTTTTAAGCTCTAAGATCTTCCAATAACACTTTTTGCTCATAAAACAACTCTGTACATATGTAGATTCAATACGCTCTTCTCACGGCCCTTTATGCATAAAGAAAAGTTTTTTTGTGACTATCTATTCTTTTTACCACAAGAAATCGTTTCCAACATCTCTATGCCCCCCGTTCTTTCGAAAACAAAAGCTCTCAACGTAGTGTATTTCGTTATTTGTAACTAAACTTTTCTTTTCGTTACATGTTTAACGTATTTTTATCATCATATGTTATTACATTCTTTCTACATATATATTGTTATCAATATTTTTTATATTTACATAAATAAAAAATAAAACCAAGCAGTTTCAGAATTTTACTTTATATTTTTATATATTTGTATTTTCATTTTATTATCGTTCGTTCTCGTTCGTTACACATCGTACTTCATCTCAATGCCAAATCAAAAATAACTTAATCAATCAAAATTAAAAACAAAACAAATCCGAAAAAAATTAATTTAAAAAAAAAACTTACCGCAATCGAAATCAAAATCGTATCGAATCGAATTAAATCAATATTTGTCGCACGTAAATCATATGTGTATGAATGAATGATTGATCACATGCAAACGTATGAAAACGTAAATCAACTACACTGCAAAAAAAAAATATATGTATATAATTAAAAATGAAATGAAAATAATAAACACGTGATAAAAAAAAATGTTGAACAAAAAATGCCAAAAAAATAACGATATATCGATACAACAGACCCGTCGGTGTTTGGGGTAAAATCGTGGGATCACTGTGTGCCATTGCTGGTGTCTTGACAATCGCTCTCCCGGTACCAGTTATCGTCAGTAATTTCAATTACTTCTATCACCGCGAAACGGATCAAGAGGAGATGCAGAGCCAAAACTTTAATCACGTTACTAGTTGTCCATATTTACCAGGTACATTAGGTAAGTACTTTTTGATCAAATGACAATATGTACGTGCATATATATATTCATGCATACATCCATATATGAAACGCAAAAAATTATCTAATACTCATACATTCATAAACACACATACATACATAATTTAAGCATAATTCAGAAAGATTTGTGGACTCTAGAATAATAGTTTTCATATTTGGATAACAAATAAGGATGTTGAGGAAATTTTGTTCCGAAATACATACATATGTAGTTATCATAGAATGGAAGACATTTCCTGTCGATTAAAAGAATACTGTATCTCCAAAACTTCTAATAAATAACGCAAAATTTTACTCAGGCCAAATTTTTCAGTACCTAAATAAATTTAAAAGAACGGAAAGAAGAATATCATAGTAAAAACCTTTTTTTTAAAAGGAAACCTTTTGATTGTTCTCAAATCTTTTTTCTTAACTGAGACAGAATTTCACGTAAAGGTAATTAGGGCTTCTGGGTTTCTTTGTATCGTCCTTCTTCTTGCTATCTCAAAATGAAAAAAGCTTCTTACCCAGTTGGTTTTACAATACAAAAAAACTATACACCGATTGTTAAATACTTCTCAGGACGCACAGTGTTTCGACTATATGGAGGCAGGTGGAATGAAGTGATGGTGTCAGTTGATAAAAAAAAAACTGTGGGGCTTAGAGAGGAGAAAGTAAGAGTGACAAATACAAAATTCCACATCATTCTTAACGAATGGTACATTTCCAAAAAGAAAATACTAGAATCGATTGCGTTTGGCGCTGATCCCATAAAAGCAAGTGTTTATTTTTTACCCGTAATCAATTCTCTAAGTGTCATCGTTTATTCACGTGAATGCATTTAGCATTTATTTGGTATTTTTTTTTTTTTAACAAAATTTACTTGGAAATGTACATAGGTCATGTCAGGTCTGGAAATTAGAAGCCTGTTTTGGAGAATTTCATATAGTTTCTGAGTTAATGAATTTTGGTAGCAAAATCAGACTACTGATTGTTGAGATATGCGATTTTTTGTAATACTTTCTCCATTTATGAAGCTAGGAACATGAAATCTTACACCATATTCCCTCGTTATCTCCTCTACCACTGATTGTTCAGATAAAAGTACTCCTTTATGTATGCAGCTAAGACCGTTAAATTGTATTACCGGTTATAATCGGTGCTTAATAAGGTCTTTGTTCCGTACCACTCATTCTGCAGATATGAGTTTTTTATATAACTCCTACATAGCGCCCAAACAACTAATTTCAAATATAGTAATCGGCTGTAGTAAAATTTTTCCTATATACATGCTCCATATAGTCGATACACTGTGGGTCGTTTCGAGCCTGATGTATCTATTAGGAAATCTCACGAGTTGTTACATTTTTCAACAAAAGCGTGTATGTATTTAGATTTCCCCCCTTTCAAGTTAAAAAAAGGTTTTTATTATCAACTGATTCGATTCTAGTTGTAGTTACTGCTTTAGACTTTGGCATTTTTCATAAAAAATCAAATAGATTTAAAAAGCTTTATAAAGTGCCATTTTCATAAAAATTTTCGATTTATAAAGCAGTTAAAGTATTTCAAAGATTTCCAGCTAAAACAAAAATCACAGTCAGAAATTAAATACTACACTCAAAAACATATATATAATCACCTCAGCTTTAAAATGTTCAAAGGAAAGGGAAAAATATATGTAACTATAAATATGAGCATCATGAACTATCAATGCATCCACACACACACACATCTGGTCACCCATTATTACATACTCAACTAATCACATTAGAAAATATGTAAAAGTTCTCTGAAGTATTTTTGCGATGTATTTGCAAACTTTTCTGGTTAATTTTCAACAAATTCCCTTCTCTTCTCTCTTAACTAACCATTTCTCTCATCTAACTAACCTTTCGTCCGTCATTCGTCCGCCGCTTCAACCACTTCCTTTTTGCAACCCAAAACCATGTCGCATTACCCCAATGCATACATATCCACCTAAATCCAATTAATTTGCATTCCCCTCCTTACCATTTCTCCCTGTCGCATTGTCCTTTCCCCCACACAAAATTGATATCCACCCCAATCGTACATTCACAAGTAGGTCAACATTTAAAGAAATCATCGTTATCTGAATCCTCATCGGATATGATGGATTTGGATGATGGTGTTGAATCAACGCCAGGATTAAGTGAAATGCATCCTGGTCGTGCGGTGGCTCCATTTTTAGGAGCACAACAACAATCGATCGAAAAGCAACAGCAGCAGCAGCAGCAGCAGCAATTACAACAACAGCAGGCGTCGCCGAAATTGTCGCAGCAGCAGCAGCAGCAGCAACAACACCAACAAGCGCTGCAACTGCAGCAGCAACAACAAAATGGTTATAAGCAATCCGCTACAAGCGTCACCGGTGGCAATAACCTAACCACCACAACAACAACGCTAAGGCATAATAATGCCCTGGCCGTTAGTATCGAAACCGACGTTTGACTACTGGGTGAGTGCAATAAATTATGTCGATATACCTATGAGTAACTTAGTATCTAAGTTCTATATACATATGTATGTAAGCTGTTTTTTTGTTGTTTGTGTGTTAATAACCTGCAACCATCTCCTAACTATTTAGTACTTATGTGTGTTGTATATAACTGAATAATTATGTACCAGCGTACATATATCTATTCGTATCTACATACGTATGTACGTACTCGTATGTATGTACATAAAGTGATTGTATTCACGTTTGTGTTGTTGTTATAATGACAAAACTGCTACTACGTACTTACGTGCATACCACTCTAAATACTACTCGTACATACAAAATATGCTCGAACGCATAAAAAATTACAGTGCCTACCAAAAAAAACTAAACTGTCACTAAAACTACTACTTTTGATATAAAATAATTAGCCAAGTATTGTATTTAGATCCTTGATGTATTATTATTATTTTTTTGTCTAACATATCAGTGGCTTCACGCAAGAAACGAATGAGTCGAAAAATATGACTTTCGAGAAATCGTTCTTTTTGCGGTTAATACATTGTACTTAATTGTTATTTCTTATCCAGTACATGCTTGTTTTTCTTTTTTACTACTCAAATTTAGTTCAAGACGATTGCGTAGTAAATTAATGTTTTGAAACAATTCTTGCTTGTGCAGATCAAAAGTTGAATTTCTATAAAAATCGCACTTTTTCGCGCTTGTCAATCTGCCACTGGTATGTGTTTACTAACTTTCAAGAGTGTAATTTCTTAGATTGTGAATAATTTGATACTCATATTTCCAATTTAATTTTCACCTATCAAATAAAGACAAACAGACATGTCATTAATCGTGTGGTATATAGTAAACAAATGTGTCGTTGTCAATGTAAAAGGTCCTGTGTCACTATTTTTGGAAATTCATATTTTTAAATATTCTCTTGCTTTGCTAACAAATGCTTACTTACATATAACACCCTAAGAATATTTATTCACAAGCATATCTTAAAATGACAAATTCGTTGTAGTACAGTCAAATTCCAAGAGGAGTTTGCTCGACCTTATCACAATTTCTTTTTAAAATGTAGCTTGGGTAATATGTGGCAAAAAATAATTATGACCAAACAAGCAGCTTACACTGTGCAACAATTTCAGGTTCATTATCCAGAGCGGAATGATTCTCACCCTGAATAAAGATGCCAGACTCATATAGGAAAGCCGCAAAATCTGTTCGTATTCTCAGGTCAAATTTATGTGGAGTAACTGGGAGAAAAGCTAAAATTCAAATCGGAGCGAAATTATTATGCAGAACATTTTAACTCAATAGAAAGTCTGAATAAAATCGCATTTAGTAGCTCGATTGAGAGTTAAATTGTTCCAAAAAATCATTCAACAAAATACTTATAAAAAGAACGTAAAAGTGCACAGAAATTGAAAAAAATGCAAACAATTTGTTATGCTTTGTTTTATATTTTGTTCATAAATTTGTTAGAGAATACCCCTAGTCAAATTTTCCGGCGAATAATTTTATAGAACATTTTAACACCCTAACGGCCTCCCAAATCCATTTTATTTAAGCTATCCAAAAAAGCGGTCAAAATTACCGTTTCGTGAGAACGCTAAAGGATTTCAATATTCTACAAAATTATTACTCGTAAAATTTTGCTTTATTCACCCAAACTAAATATTTAGCTCCGATATGAATTTTAACCCTTTTTCCATTTATTTTAAAAACACTCAGCGAAAAATTGCAAATTTAATAAGACCATAAAAAAATATTGCTGCACTAAGCCATTTAAAAATCGACATGATATTTTTTATTGATTGAAAAAATCCTAACCCTCGACATCCGTTTGATCACAAGTGGTCACTTTTTGGTTTGTGGTTTGTTTGCATTTTTTTCTAAATATCCATATTAAAGAAAAACACGCCACTTAGTTATAAAAACTATTTATACAGTGGCTTTTTTGGAAAAATATTGTCAAATCATTTTACTTTAATTGAAATCCTGAAAGGTATGAATGTAAGCGGCCTTTTTCACTTTTCCTTATTAAGTTCTCTCCTCCAACTCCTGAGTAGTTTACTACCAAAAAAAAAAAAACATCTTCTCATAAATCGCAAAAATTGCAACATGAAAATAACGAATTAAACTCTTCATTTTACATTTATTAGTCTAAGCCCGGCCAGATGCGACAAAAATTTTAAAAGTAATTTCAAATTTTATTTTTAAGAAAAGAATAATAATTAAATGTTGTTACAATACGTGTACGTAATATTTCATGAAAAATAAAAGAATTTTTACCCAAAAAGAACTTTTACCCAAAAAATATGTGATGAGATGGAGCAAAATCCTACCAGAGTTGGACTACCAGCTATAAAAACTAACATTGGGTTGAATTTAGTTGAGATCCCAAAATACCTCTTCCCCTGTGGAAGAAAAAACACTGTCCACATTTATTTTCAACATGGCTACGAATTCACAATCCCCTGAGTCTGGCAAATCCAGTATTACATTAACAGCGACTAGCCTCACAGTATTAAAAAATAATTGTACGTCATGCAAAAAATTTTCACTGTACTCATTTTCGGCCCAAATTTGACTGTATTACTGGTAAAATCCCGAAATAGGTATTAATTGCAAATATTAACATAAATAATTTAAAACTTATTCAAAATTTCAAATTTGTATTTTGGGACCTTTTTTCTGTTTTTGATAACGACAATCTAAGTATTTTCGATTTGTGTATACCTACCATGTCATACATACTTTCAATTAGTTTTGATTAAAGTTGACATAAACTTGTGTAAAATTGCAATACAAAAACAAAAATACTCGGGCATCTAGTAAACACATTCTACACTAAATAGCACATTTAATTTTATATATATTCGTATAGGTCTTTACATATTCGACGAACAAAGCTCTCACATGTTTCCTTCTGTGCTTCTTGTTTGGCGCTGTAGGTTAACTTAGACTGAAGTGGCAGTGAGTGGTCACACCAGCACACTTAGACCCTCAATCTGGCCCGCTGTGATACTACAAATGATCTCAGCTGCCTGCTGAGTCCAAACTAGCAATTGTTGGCAAGAGCGAGATGCTTTCCTAGATCTCCAGGCACACATAGTTATTTATGTTTACGATAGTTCACAAGTAGACAATTTCCTCTACAACTTCGAAAACATAACTGTCAATAGTTATGTTAGTGAAGCATCCATATCCAACATTACAGATCAATACAGATCAAATAGTGCGGTTGTTAAGACCGTAATGGTTTTGATACTAAACTCAGATATCGTGGCATAAATGCAATTTTTTTCATGCTATCGAAGGCAGCTTTGAACGCGGCAAATAGTTGATGTGTGTCGATGCTCTTTTCGGAGATTTTTCCCAAGAACTGGCGGAAGATGAACACCCGATCTATGATAGATTTACCAGGTCTAGAGCCACACTGATAAGTTTTAATCAGTTCGTCAACGTCCATCGTCTTTATTATTTCATACAAAACGCTCAATTAGACCGTACAGCCTAGGCTCAGAAAGCAAGTCGCGGGGAGCTTGGCATATATGGCAAGTTCGCCAAATCGGCCGATTCGGCTCATCATCATCATCTATTTTAAGTGTGCTCTGTGCGCTACTTTTCGGGCGTCCACGCTATAGGCCAGTATCTCAAGCTGCTCACACTTTCGAATTTCGATTTAACTCGATCGAAGCGATGGAACATGGAACTTGGAGCTACAGCCTACCATGATTCGGGCTTCGGCGGAAAGAATCAGCCTCATTGTGTTATCGGACGTTTGATTGTAGAGGCTGATTTGTTTGATTGTTGTGCCAAAATACTTTCATCGCCAACCTTGAAGTTGAAGCCTCCAAGCATGATTCTTATGTCGTAACGGTGGCAATGCTCGTCAGCCCATTCTTAGAGTTCATTTAGACAATCTTTGGTCGTCATCATATTTCTTGGGTGGCTGTAATGTATGCCATTGTTCTTACGATAAAAATCGTTTAAAGATTTTCCGTCTCCCAAAGAAATTTTTAAGTGACGGATCCCAAACCCTGTGCATAATTAGATACTTTCGCACACAAACATTTCCTTTACTTTATATGGCGAGCCGCTAGACAGACGCACAGTGGTGCCAAACTGGAGTATACTGTTCAAAATAGTGCAAAACCTTCAATTTTCAACTGATTTTAATATGCAAGGTTTTTTTAATGAAGGCTAATCAAAGTTAGAAGAGAAGTTTTTAATTTTTTTTGTTTATGTTAAATTGTTTAAGGCAAAATGCAAAGAAAGAAGCAATTTCGCAGAAAGTCGATTCTCCTGTTACTGCAAATAATTGTTAAAAAATATAAACTAGATAAAAATCCCGTTAGGGTTCTCCCAAAATTAAAAAGAAATGCAAAAGTAGAAGTTTAAATATTTGGGCGATTCATGTAAACGCGTAAATGTCTCTTTACCACTTAAACCTCGTACTCTTACTCAATTTGGTATGAAAAACCGGAACCGGAACCCTAATTGTTAATAAAATTTCACTAAATGTTCAAGCATTTCATTCACAACCTTTAGAAAAATGTTTGGTATGCACTTTTATAGTGCAGTTAATTTTAGTTTAGTAATTTAGACCTGACCTGAAATATTTAAAGAGCTTTGTTGGTCTACTCACTACTATTTGGCTCACAATAAATTATACTCGTACGCTTATCATTTAATTTAATTTCTTTTGACTTCTCTGCCGTTCGCTTAATTGTTTTGCANATTTGGCTCACAATAAATTATACTCGTACGCTTATCATTTAATTTAATTTCTTTTGACTTCTCTGCCGTTCGCTTAATTGTTTTGCACGATATCACTTTCGATAATTTTTTCAAAATTTTACTTCTTATAATTTCTGCTCAGTTTTAGCACTATTGTTGTTAAAAATCTTTGTACAAAATTTCGAGTATTTATCATATTTATAGCAAGAAGAACTTCAATTTTTTAGCGATACATATTTTTTACAAGTTTGCATGCTTGAGCTGCTTTTGAATAAAACAAAAATTGTTTCTTTTCCAATTCGCCATATATTTCTTCCATTTTGCTGCAATCTCAGTAAAAAAGACGATACGTGCTCTAATTTGGCCTTGTGAAATGTTACGTTGGATGCCAGAAACGACAACAAAAGCTGTTTAATTAAATTTAAGTAGACAAATAATTAAATTAATTCAAATTGAAATTAAAGCAAAATTAATTTAATAATAACAATTACACAAAAGCAAATATGGAAGCAACAAAACAAGCTAACTAAATTAAATTCATAAATTGCAAAAAAAAACATCGAAAATATCACAGAAATTTAAACAAAGAGATACACATAAAACATAGTCATACAAAAACACAGAAACATGCAAAAAAAAAATGATAGCCTAAATAATAGCAAATATGTAGTTATGAAGCAAATTATGCGATTGCAAGCAAATCGACCGCCTGTGTATTAAAGTAGAGCAAAAAAAGAATATCGCAAGAGAAAAGGCGCTCAATATTTAAAGCGAAACTAGAAATGGTAAAAGACTGCTAACGCAAGCCTATCGTGAAAATGGCGACATTTTAGGAAAACAAAAAACACAAGGAGACGGTACTGGCACACGTATATGAACGCGCCGAGTAGTAAACTCGGAAAAAGTTGTGAACTCTGCAAGAAAATGGCCTTGCCAAATGGGACGAAACTTAAAAATACTTTCATAAATCCATAACTAGAAAAATATAGCTAAAAACTAAACTTTTATTAACCTCATGCAAACGATATTTACTAAGTCGCTGCCGATCTATGTACAGACATATATGCATGTCTTAACCCTTTCACTGCTAGGGGAATCATGGAGTTCAGCAGAAACTAAATAGTTCTTTTAGAGAATCGGTTCGAGCTTTAATTCATTACTAGTTTGCCTTAAGTGGTCGTGCTTCAGCAGACGAACAGCTTGTAACATTTATTTATATTATTTCCGATACCCCCCTAAGGGGATTCTTAAAAATATCAACATCCAATTTTTGTACGGGGCACACCTTTATCTTGTTCTAGGTATGAAAAAAGGCATCTATAAAAATTTTAAAATTTAAAAAAATTTTGGGGTTTGAAAAACTAAAATTTTTTTAATCGCAAAAATTTTACAAACTATCACGGTTGAACAAAATTTGGTCGTATTTCAGTTTTTGAGAAAAGAACGCCTAAAGTGCTAAGAGACAAAAGACTGGCTAATGATGAATCTGGGATATTGATTTTTAAATGTGGATTCCTTCATGAAATCACTTATTGTATGTAAAATAATTTCATAGATTGAGATTTTCGTATCTGTGGTAAAACAAGTGCTTGCTAGTGAAGAACTGAGTTTTTCTTTAATTTTTCACTCATTCCTAATTAACTCATCGACATAAGTTAGAATTCCTCAGACGAATTGTGATTTTTTTCTTCGGAAAAACTATGTCCAAATTCGATTCAAACCTTTTTTTTTGCAATTTGTCATTTTGCAATTTTTCGGCACTTCAACAGCGGTTTTTCTAAAAAAAATAGCTTTATCTTAAAATTTCAGTTCTTTTACTCGATTTATTGAAATACATTTAAGTATCATTGAAATTTATTCATATAAATTGATGAATTTCCTGGGTTATAGCTTACGAATTTGTGCTCCTTAAAACAAACTACACTTTGGAACGAGTTCAAGGCAAATTTTCCTGGTCTTGAGTTAAATGTTGCAATGGCACGGATTTTTTCCAGTGTATTGAATATAAAGCTCACACTCCCTTTGGCTTGGTTTCAACATCTTTTTGGCTTGGATTTGTTCAATGAGTTCATTGTGTATGGCACTAATTGCCAACAAACATTGCTAAATGCATCCCTGATTTTAACACAAAATAAATACTGGAATAACTAGTATGTATGTACATTACATTGGTCGGCCGCTGTGGTGTAGTGGTAAGCAATGTGCGCTTTCACACATCAGCACCTGGGTTCAAGCCCTGGTCAAAGCAACATCGCAAAATAAAATTTAGAAAAAAGGTTTTTTCGTAACAGCGGTCATCCCTCGGCGGGCAGTGGCAAACCTCCGAGTGTATTTCTGCCATGAAAAACAGCTTCTCATAAAAATAAAATCGCCGTTCGGAGTCGGCGTAAAACTGTAGGTCCCTCCACTTTGTGTGACAACATCAACGCGCACGCCACAAGTCGGAGGAGAAGCTCGGCCAAACACTAACATATGTGTAAACGCCAATATATTATTATTATTATGTACATTAGGAAGCCCCATCAAAAAAAATATTAAGATTAACGTGAGCTGGACCGATTTAAAATTGACAAAACTTGTATGCAGACCTTTTAAGCTTAAACTCTTCTTTCATCTGAGTCATATACATATGTAATACTCCTATATTGGCAGTAAGAGCTAGTACCGTCCGAAAACACTACAGTACAGATATATCAATAAACACGTACGAAAGAAAATGAACACAAACGTTTATAAGTAAACATGTACACGACACATTTACAAAAACGGCACTCAAGTACACAATACATTGACAAAAACGGAACTAGACTGTCTCGCTTTGATTTCGGAATGCTTACACATTGAGATGTTAGCTTACTACCAATATAGAAGTATTACATATATGATCTGAGGTGATTTTTTGGAAAAGACATTTTTACGAAGTAGCTTTTATTTATAAAAAAAAAAAATAGCTTCATGGTGTGTTTTTAAATCGTTCCTGCTAACATAAATCTATATATTTTTCCGAAATATTTCGGCGGAAGTCTTAAAATATAATAAATTTTATAATGCCGATGAAAACCCCTTACCGATTTTTTCCCACGGAGAGTTATCCACCCTAATGTATATAAATAAATAACGCAATAGGCACAATTTTTTTAATATTTCATTTTGCTGTTTTTGTTGAATAGATTTGTAACCGTTCAAGAAAATTACCTGAATTTCTGCAACCACCCACTTATAGTAACTATGATAGTGAAAGTTAGGTAAGGTAGTTAGGTTAGGTAGTGAAAGGGTTAGGTATGTATATTTGAACTACGAAGGAACATGAAACTACAACTAACATACAAATTACGTGCCAGGTCTTTTCGATGTGGCAAATGTTAACAATTGGCGGCTATTTTTCTTGTAGGGTATGGATCAGCAATAGTGGACTGTTGAAGTGCCATGACTTATGTACTCTTACATATGTACATATATAACGAATACAGATATAACTTTCAAATAGTATTGGAGAACTAAATTTCTCATATTTTCAATTTTCAAAGACTTTGATCCAATACTTTAAATCAAAAGCTACCATTCACAGTCTTACTTTTTACCAGAACAAACTTTTTCTCTCGGTAACCACCTTTGGTTTCGCCTGCATATAGATACGGAAAGTCGGGAATATTAAGAAAAAAAAAACACTGAAATATCCTGGCCAGAAAATGGCTTCCTTCTAAACTGCAAAGCTAGTATAGTTAATGATCTCATTTTGTGATTATATGGCATAAAAGCTCGAACAGGTGGCCGCAGATACCTTTCTCATTGCCACCTTTACTTGCCGTTCCCAAACTTAGCCTAGATCTGTGATTAACAGAGCGATGAAGAGGAGACGACTCGAATCTATACCGAGACTTACATATTAAAGATAAAGAACTCTGTGTAGCCACAAATAACTTTAAAAGAAAATATAACTTATCCAACTTAACAGTTAACGAAGGATTCGACAGATTTCACTAATGATGAGAAGGAGAAGAAAGAAAGTAAACTAAACTTAGGGGCATAGAGATACAAAAAAAAAACTACAAAACCCGAATGACAAAACTAAACAAAATACAGAGCTTTTCTATTATTTAAAATGCAATAAATTAAACAAAAACCAATAAAAACTAACGCCTTCTAAAAGCTATAAAAAAAAACCGATGGAAACAGTCTTCAAGAACTCTCAACTTCTAAACATAAAATTATTTTTATATAGAGTTACAAACCAAAGCATTTTGTTATAAGAACTGCATAGTACTAGAAAATTTTCATATAAGTTCTACATTTGTTTTTAGCTAGTAAAAAGCTTTCGCTAACTCTTGCTCATTAGGCTTTACTTACGAAATTATTTACTTATAAAAAATAAAAATCCCATAAGAAATAAACTGCCGATAATAGATAACTTATTAGGTATTAAACTGAAAAAAAAAAACAAAATACAAAACAAAAACAAAAAACAGAAACCGAAAAAAATATAAAAAAAATACAAAATCTTAACAAAATATTGACAAAGTTAATGAGCAAGCCATTAAAGTATAATAAAATAAACCAAAGTTTAAATTCTAAAACACAAAAACACACAGCTGAAGCAAGAGCAGGAGCTAGAATGGTGTAAAATTGTAAGATTGTATAAAAACTTAAATGAACAGATACCAAATCTTCAAAAACAGCAGAAGCTTATATGCAGTAGAAAGGTTTTAACGAACAGTTAAAGTAAAATCTGTAAAAACCAAAGCTTTTGAAAGAAATAATCACCCACCCCATAAATACATCTGGTACCACCCCCAAACAAAATACATAAACTACCGATATGGGGACCTCATGTCAAGGCATTTACTCACACTTGCATACAATCATAAGCGCAAAAAACGAGCAGTTTATTTATAGCATCACTTGCCACAGAAGGTCTAGTGAAATGTAAGCAATGCCAAAATTGCCAATGATATTAATTTTGTACACTGTGGCCCAACGTTTATGGAGATTATCAAGTATTGGATCCTACATTATATGGCTAAAATTTTCGTTGTAGAAAGGTAAATGGCAGAAATGTATCTATCAGACTTTGTCTAGCCTTTAGACCGAATTTTCCACAGAATAATCGCAAACTACAACATTCAAGTCTTCACGTCCATTCTGTCTCAGAAGTGAACAGATAACTTCATTTAATTCGCCAACACATACAGTTTTGAGTAATCATTTCTCCCTTTAAAATGTATATCCTTTCTATTGATGGTCGGTTTCTTTACACCGAGTGTTGTCAGGTTTTTGGCCTGAGAAAGCGTCCTAGTCAGTTTGAAAAGTACGTCAGTTACTCGCAAAAATTGTCCTTCTTTGAAGGAATACATATGTACATACAAAAATTATGAATTTTATTAAGCCTTTTATATTTAAATATGAGCGAGGGTGCACACATTATCTTAAAATGATCCGGGAATTGCAGAATTTTCATTTAAAAATTAAACTTTACTCTAACGCTTTTTGGCTATAAGTTCCGTCACAATAGTAGTCCGATCAGAAAGTGTTTTATCGTCAAGCAAAGTCCACGAATTATCCTTCCATAACCGTTTTGGCGCAAATGCTTCATAATACGCGTTGTATAATATAATTTATTTGGCCAGTTAGTAGTCTACCCCTTCGTATGCCAAGCCTCGATATTAGGGTTGTGTCCACCGGCCATTGATTGCTATGTCCCATCGTTCCTGCTATTCGGATAAAGTGCGCCTTCTCCCGAGCATTCGTGTGTTCGAAGCTATGGAACAACCAGGAACGGTGAATAAGACCTCCTTCGCTAGTAAATCAAAAGGGAGCAGCCCAGCCACCATAGAGGCTGCATCTTCCGAAACCATCCGAAAATCTGAACAAACCGTTACTGTACAGAGTCTGTAGATTGACATAATGCCATGGCTGTATGGAGCTACTTGGAGTACATCTACTCAAATTTCGGACGCGTAGATTATCACTGATTTTGGTACGCTAGCCATTAGTTGCCTGCTCTTTCGCTTGGGTCCCTTCGCGTAAACGATTATTGTGGCAAGTGCGCACCTTGTTTTGCAAGCCTTCTGGAAAATGTAATGCATGTGCTTATTGGACTTCAATCTAGGGTCGGGTTTAATGTCCAGTTATTTAGTTGATGGCTTCGAGCGTATCGTACATCCCTGGAAGAAGACTTTCATATTCTCTCTTATTTTACGGCCGCTGATGAGTAAAAACTCCAATTTCTGTTCCGCCAGACTCAGACCCCTGGAATCCATCCTGTCGTCAATCGTTGCTACTGTAACCACCGCTATCCGTTCGGCATCTTCAAGATATTTTACGACCACGATGACTGTGATATCGTTTGCCGTCAGGTACGGCTCGGTTCTAGATGCTAGTGCCTAAAGAATCGAAAATTATACGGTTCGCAAACGATATCAC